CCTTTTTAATAATTTTGCCTGTTATGTCCTTATTATTTTGGGATAATACTCGCTAGGAGCTTCGTTAGTTAGTCCGGACGTCGAAAATTGAGAAGTTCTCAGAACGCCGTAAACGCTGTACTTTTGAGTACCTGAGCACTAGCAAATTCAACCTACCCACCTGCTTGTAGGATAGTAAATGCAACATGCGCACACCCAGGCTGTGTTTGACTAGGCGTGACTCCGCTTGGCTTGGCTTGAGGACCTGATGGAATTTTTATGGCAGATGACAGATCAAATCGATCAAATCATTCGTTTGCCTTTGCTTGGCCTTTACTCTCATATTCAGGCTGTGTGATAAAAGGCAACATTTGGGTGAAGCGGACTATCGAGGTGTGAACTCATTGATCCGGAAAAACGTTCGCCTGGGAATGGACTTACATAGGAGCGCTAGATTCCCAGAAAACGCACTCAAGCATAACTTGAAACCGGGGCGAGTAAAGTTCATTTACTTCTAGAAAGAGGTAGTTTATTCTGCATGCGTGCTTGACAGGTAGGATTGTAGTGGTCCTTTTGCTGGCGCCTGTTGTAACGTCTTCTCACTCTCGCGCGTACCAATGGCAGCCTAGTCTACGAACAATCACGACTATCCAACTTGGCCGAGCAACTTCAAGGCCGATTCAGACAGGTGCTCGCTCTAGGCGCTATGAAGAGTGCCTTTCTTTTACTCGGAATACTGGCTCTCGCGGCGGCGGCGGCGGCGGCGGCGGCAACAGCGTGTGCGAGCATCTGGTTGACAATTTATTCCACATTATTCTGAAATTATTCTGCTGGACTCAGATCAGCTCCCGAGTCTCGTGTATGCCATTGTTAAGGTCGAGTTGCACAACATATGGCCGCACTGCCTCCTCCGACGTCATGGTTCAAAGTACAGAAGACCGAAATGGGCTTAGGCGCAGTGGATGGCAGAGGAAAACGGTCCGTCTTCGCAGGCCACACACGGCCTTGTCCCTGCTCAATCCCAACCAGGCTGTATTCGATATAAATCTGAAAGCCGACTTAAGGGAGTGCCACAGAAGCCAAATGTGTCATTATTGTTTGTTGCTCCGTCCTAAGCAGACCAGCTTTACCCTGGTAAACATGCGAGTCAGCAATGCTAACACATTATCAGGGACTCAAGTGCCTGAGAGGGTCTATAAGGAGGCCAGATCGAACGTCATCAGTCTCTTATTCACTTCAATCTCATACACATATATCTGTAACGACCTCTTGTTCTAAGCCATGCTTTGCTTACATGCCTGCGGGGCATGACCCGAGTGTCTAGCTTTCCTGCCTACCGGTCCGTGCGCGCTAGACGGTCAAACCTCCGATTAAGGTCACGG